CTAACTGCTATAATTCACAGCACATGACAAATATTCTCAAAAGTTACATAATTTCCCTAATGTATAAATTGATGATATGGGGTTATTTCAAGTTTCTGAAAGCTTAAGTCTGAGCTTCATCCTGTTACCAAGAACATATGTTTACTTCCTTCCTATGATTCACTAATTTGCATTATGGTATATTTTATTTTCTGTCAACAAATGCTCATTTCCAAGCACAGAGAGCAACCCTGAAGTGCTATGGCACAGAATACAGGGAGAAGAGAAACACACACAAGTAGCATATAATTCACTGGGATTCAGGCATTGGTATGGTATTGAGGGAAAGACAACATATTTTGATTATTCTATTTTTTGCCTTTTTATAATACCATTTAAGTGAGAAGACTTGAGAAGATGCTGGGAACGGATTTGATTTCCCTTTTCTTCTTTAGAACCTAGTTTGCACCTTAAGTGGCAAATAAACACACACTATTCTAGAACACAGTTTAACTTATTTTTGTTACTGTGTTTGATACACAAATAAGGCTCTGTTTATGTAACAGTAACTATTCACATTTAGTTACAAAGACATTAAAATGCCAAGATAATGAAGCAACTGAATTGCATTGCAGGATAACAAAGATTTCATGATAATTCTTTCTTACCATCAAGTTGTCAATGAAAGTAGTTAATAAACATGACTGTGATAATAAGTAAATTTTTATAAATACTAAAGAGAAGTTCATGTCACAACGCAAAGCTTAATATTCAAATATACTGTTCTTCAGAGTTCAGTCACTTTCTTCGCTACTCCATTCAAAGTATTAAATTATTGTTCTCTTTGTCTTGACCAATGCATCTTTTATGGTTCATGCTATGAGCTTTAAATTGCCTCTTGAATTCAATTAAGCATTCACAGCAAAATGAGAGATGCATACTGACTAACCATAACATACTACAAATACCAAATTCAGATTTGATTATTATTATAATTATCAACTCTATAGCAACTTGGTACTTGAAATTAGATTTAACATTTTTTTTCTGAACTGATGGCATGAAGATCAGACGATTATGTTTTTTCAGAAGATGAATGAAATAAATGTATGTCTCACAGTGATAAAATATTTTTCAGGAGGTTGCCTACCTTGGATGAGTATATATTTCAGTGATGAAAACTTACAGATCAACAGTTCCTACAGTCAATTTCTTAAATTCTACCACTTACAGTATAGTTACTGCCAAGTTTTCTATATAAAATGCAATATTTTCATGAAATCCTTTTCCATCTTGTAGAATTATTACTTGGCTGAAATCTCTATGTCCTTGTAACCACAGTTTGTGTAAAATTAATGAAATACCAGATCCTGTATAAAGAAACTCAATATATTTAGCCCAGTTCTCTTTCATACATATGAAGAGATATAATTCACACAAAACAAAACACTGGGACTACTATGACAGAAAGGGGAAGGGGTAAAATCGTAGTTACTTCTTGTCATCTGTATTACTGCTACTGACTTGCCCTGACACTACTGCACCTGCAACTGCTGGAGCTGGCGTAACTGCTGGGGTCACCGGAGTTGGATCATCTTGGAATAGTGGGTTCTTTACTTCCATTTCACCTGTCTGGAGCAACAATATTTCATTGTGTTAAAACAAAGTACATATAAATTCAAATACAGGTGAGATATGAATAACAGTACAAAGATCAGAAATGTTTCTGATGGCTGTTTTCATTCAAGTTACCTATGTCATAACACACACCATTCCACCTTTCACATTACAGACATTCAAATGGTGAATTGCATAGGTATCCTGTATGCAAATGAGAAATGTACACCTAATGTGTAAGACTTGAGGTTCTCACAGCGGTGAGTATGAAGATTTCTGTCTTCTGGGTTATTGCGCTGTGTAGTCTGGTCGATGTTAACCAACGTTTCAGAGGTCATACTGCCTCCGTCATCAGGGCGATCATCGCCCTGATGACGGAGGCAGTATGACCTCTGAAACGTTGGTTAACATCGACCAGACTACACAGCGCAATAACCCAGAAGACAGAAATCTTTACACCTAATGTAGTGGGAAATATGACTATGTAAATTACGTGTATGTGAAAGAAGAAAAACTGTTTTACAATCGAACCTGCTTGGTGTGACACTGGTGCTAGTAATTCAGAACAGAAAACAATCACTGGAGACAAGGATGGCCCTGTTACTGAGGAAATTGTTGTAGTGATGAAGTCTAAGCAGTTTTGGAAAGGCACAGTGGTGTTTCCTGGACCTGGTCCCAAGTTGCATTTTATTCACATATTTCTCCTATTGTTCTCACATATGAGGTATGATAATAACATTCTGGGATAGATACTTTTTATGGTTTTCTGAATTTTATTCTGTCACAGATAAATGATAATATTTTATCAAGATTCCTGTCACAATTTCATTACCATAATTGACCAAATCTCAAATTATTGTTTTGATGTGAGATAACTCCCATTTAGATGAAAGTTTAAGTATCTCACTGTTGAGTTATCTTAGAAAATTTGTGTGAAAAGTTCTAAGAAAAGATTGGTAAATTGAACCTTCAGTGGTTCCTCACAAGGTAGCCATGAAAGTCTACAAGTCCTGTATAATTTCATGTTCAAACGTTCACTGTGACTCAAAATTACAACAAACTATGCTTAAGAGCTGAATCATATGCAAATTTTTGACATTTCTGTGGAGACTTCTTGTTCATGGTGCATCAGAATTGGTTATTAATTTTATGTACTTACTGAAGCTAATCCAGGGCATTCATACACTGTGTAGTCTCCTTCTTCATTTTCCTCCTCACTCTCTGCCTCAGACACAGATCCATTGCGTTCATTTGTAACACGACTGAAAAATAAATTTATGGGAATAACATTAAAACCAATAAAGGAAACCAGATGTTACATAAATAACATATCCACTATTCCATATTAACAAATGCTCTGTCCTGAACAAAGTCCATAGATTTGTCACACTGAACTGTCAGTGATTTTAATGACACAAGCTAATATAAATAATTACACTCACGTCAACATTAATATTTCTCTTAAGTTCCTGAGATTTTCCATTTTTGTTTCCCTGATAAATAATGTAATGACAGTCTATTAATTTTGACTTTTATATCAGCAACTGAATATGTAACATTTTCCAAACAATTACTACGTAATAACCTTAAAATGTCTCAGTACCACAATAACTGACAGCACTGCTAGCCAATTTTTAAAAACAAGAAGCACAAAAACAAAATCATATTCTAAGGTCACAACACACAAATGTAAGAAACTAAGCAAGAAGAAGAACAACATGACTGAAAACTGAACAATGCAAGTTGTGGCATCCGAACTACTATTAAGGTTACAAAATACAGAAAATATTTTGGTTTTCGTTGTGTTTCCCGATGTCGGAAAGGCTGTCCTACTTCAAAGGGCACATACCTCTCCATTGCAATGATTTGCTGCTTTTGGTGTTGGTAGTGGTACATTTGGGCAGACTGTGCTAACCTTCTATCACCTGTCGGAGAAATTTCCTTATTGGGACCGGTGACTCCGTATGCTGGATACTCCACATCAGCAGCAGCTTTAGCATTCTTATGCAACCTGAGACAGAAGAGTAGAACCTAAAAATCAGAGTCACATAGTATCCCTGCGTATTGCTTTTCCTCACTTACTCACCCAAGCATACAATTAAACAAGACGTTTCATCCATATCTCGAGTTGAAAGATGCGAACCAGCAGCCCTATATGCGTTCATTTCTAAGCACGCGTAATAACCGTCAAAAACTATGTAACTGAACAAATACTGTGGGTCTAATGATCCAGTTGTTTAGCCAGCCGCAGGAGGCAACGGCCAGTCACGAATAGCACTATCCCGAACATTTCTGAAAGAGCACAAGGCACCTATTATAATGGTCCGTCATGCATAACACACACAGTCACCATATCCCATTAATAAGCCTTCAACTCTGAAGATGGAAGCACTATATTTCTCCGAAAAGATGGCACGCAACCAAAACGCTACAAGCCCAACAACCAGAACACCGTCACCCATAACGGATACCTTTTTTAGTATAAGCTTACGTACACACAAACAGCAGGATTTCAGGTTCCCAAGGCGGTGAGTAAGACGATGGGTGTCTTCTGGGTTGTAGCGCAGTGTAGTCTGGTAGAAGATTGTTTTTCCTACCTCCAACCATCAGCCTTGATGAGGGAGGCAGCAAGGACCTCTGAAACGTTGGTAAACTTCTACCAGAGTACACGGCGCTACAGCCCAGAAGAGAGCCACCTTCATACATAACAACATTCAAACTTTAAAGTAGATAAATTGTAACAAAACTAACTACCCTGTGTCCCATAAGCTAGTGTTATGGCTGTCCCTGGAACTGTTCGAAAGTGGCTTATCTTGAAAATGTAATAAACAGAGCGAGCCTGCAGAACTGACCAGATCCAACTCACAGGAGAACAAGCCAACTGAAATATTAATCCTAATAAGAGCGAACATTTTCCACGTTCTGAAAAATCAATGTGCCACATTTGATTTGTTACGTAAATGTTCCCATTATCGATTGTTATTGCATGATTATGTGTACGTACAATAGCAAATGACGCCGGGGATGGGGGTGCATACACGATAGTCAAAAGAAGATTAAAGGGAGCAGTTACGGCAGCAGACGTGGTAAGTCCGTTTTTCGTTGCAATAAAACAATTAGCAAATAAAACTATCTCTGTATTTCGGTTACATTGTGTGACAATAATTATATTCCCTATTTCTGAACTTGTAAATGGGTAGTTAAGTACCGATATCTTTGTCTGCCCGCTTTCCCTCTGCGATTGCAAGTAAACACGAAAAAATTGACTCTTTTTTAATACACAGATATAGCATGCGAGAAAGAAAAATCAAGGGTTCTTAAATCGAGTGATGGACGATATACTTTAAGTAATCGAGTATCTTTTAAACACTGTGTTCCAAATAAATTTCAAACCATAACTCCTGTATTTTCCAATAATGTACGAGAAATGTTCATGACTGCGATTTTAAGTGACCTTAGAATTCATACTGGCAGCACTAAACCTTCTTTTTTTGCACCTAGTTCCTCTTTCAAGAAAAGAATAAACGAAGTAAATGTAAATATATCGATACTCACAAATCATTCTTGACAGATTCAAAACTACCCTTAAGATTCTGGAGGAAGTCTTTTAAGTTGCTGAACATGGGCAGACCACATTAGTAAGCACAGACACTTTCGTGTCCTCTTTATGAGACCCCGCGTGTGACTGGTGGTTAGTGCAGCTTGCGCCTACCGACCCTCAATCCGTTCTACATACCACGTGACGCTACTACCATGGTAACTGATTGTTATTCTCCGTTCATGAAGGTAATACGTTCCCGTACTCAAGGGGAAGTCCAAGGATTGAATTCAGCGGAACACCATTTCTAACTACTGTGCGTGTCTAGTGTCAGAGTTCCGGAATTTCGCCACGACCAGAAGACATTCCAGCACGGCTGGCTGGTACTTCATTAAGGAATGTTCAATAATTGAGTGAAAGTAAGATAATGCGTGTTCAAATAGAGCCCGAGCAGAATACAAATATATTGCACAACTGGTAACGTCGTTGTTCCATACAATGCGTCTAGTTTTTGCGAAAGTCTTGTACTTCAATTCGGCGGTGGTAGTTCAGTGTGTAACTTCAGCTGGCGGGGTTAAGGCGCGTCGAGTGTTGAGGAAAGTTGAATAATTCTTAAACTCGAAAGTCTGAGCCACACGATTACACGGCTTACTCGTATCCGAGGAGTACTCGGTTCGAATCTCGGGCACGATACCGGCTAACATAACTGCTGTTTTCTGTGGTTTTTCTCATTACTTCCATACAGACGCCGGTGTACTGCAGTGAAGTAGGTTCCTACAATCCCTTCAGAATTCTGTATACAAACACTCTTATTACTTTCGGCCCTGATGAAGGATCGTCTAACGGCCTACGAAGAAATCAGCCATCCCTAACTGTCTGGTTAACAAGCACTAGGCGGGCCTGCCTCTCCGTGTCATTTGTTTGTGCTTATTCGGAAGCATACTGCGTGCCCCATCTTGTGAATAGTGTAAAATCGTCTGCAAAGTTCTGGAACGCTCTCTGTTTACACAAGTGAAGCACGTTACTTTCGCTGTCAGACTAGAACAAACTTACAAGGCCTTTATTTACCGACCCGTGTTCGAATTAAGACAAATGCTGTACTTCGAGTAAAACAAATTTCGTGTACAGCTAAAAATGCGCATGATAATCTAAACATAGCACACAAAAAACAGGACGTTGAGGTGAACTTGTCACATTCTGAAAGAAGAAATAACATGGGTGAGATTGCGGACAGAAAGGGGCAAATGAACAGACAAGGGGGGATAAGAGGAAAGGAAATAAGAGAACTGATAAAGGAAAGAAGAAACAGAAAGGCAACTGACAGAAAAGTAAAATAGACTTTCTCATTACGCCACACAATCTTGACAGTTATTCATTTCATTTAAGCCTATAGTGAAGTACAAACAGTTGACCTAACGTGACCAGGGAAATTACCCCAGGCCTACATACTGAAGCTGTGTCCTGCAACAGGATCACGACAATGCCAAATATTGCGTTCTGACATTAATTCCTGTGTTTCTTTTGTTGCAGGACGTGAAAATATGTTTGCAAGCAAATTATTCAGTCACGAGATGATTCAGAAATGTTGATTTCTTCTTGGCATCGGTCCTAGATACTCGTTTTCCACTAACTAAGTTCCTAATCAGCAAGAACAACGAGCAGATAGTAAATCCTGGTTCAGTGTAGACTACTTTCGGCCTCTACGGTTTTCTTGATCAAGTCCAATTCAGTCCACAAATTCACATTGCTGTCACTTGCATCCGTCTTAATGTGATTTTCCCATCTACGCCTCTGTCTCTCGAGTGGTCTCTTTCCTTGAGGGTTTCTGATAAAAATTTAGAAAGGATTTCTTACTTCCTCCATAAATGCTGCATGCCTAATCCATCGCATTGCTTTTCTGTGAAGTTCGTCGTTATGAAATCTTCATCAATCATTTGCTACTTCTTCTCTACTAGGAAATTTATTTTTCATAATCGATGTTATTCTTCACTCCATCATAAAACATGTTACGATGGTTCAATACCATTCATACCCCATTCGATATCCTGCAGCCAACAACTTCTATTGCTGATAATGTTGACAGTTTTCAATCAGCTTGCCCTACAGAGACTCTTTACGTTCCTAATTGCTAACCATAATTCCGTTTCGGTTGAAACTGTACTGAATATGACGAATATAAAATTCGAATCACGTTTGTTTTCTAATCAACCCGTGTCAGTTTTTTAAAGCACCTACAAATATACTAATCCGCGGTATCCGTTCATAAGATAACTTATAAACTCAATAACAATATCTATTTTCCACACTTCAGGCACTTAACATTTCCTTTGTTCGGAGTTTCTTTTCTAGCACAGACGACTAATAAATGCTTTTGTTCTTTTAGTGTTCCTGTCAGATTTAGGATTAGGGAAAAAATATGTTTTATCACCGTATTTTAAGATTTTGTTGCTAATATAAAAATTCAACTTTAACTGGAATTGGACGGTGAAAGTAAACAGTTTTGTTACTTTCGTCTCCTGGACAGGCTATCTTCTTGTGGTGCGAAATGTAGGAAAATGTCTTATGACTTAAACTCATGTCACTTTCAGAGATACTCTATTATACACCATGCATAAAATTCAGGCTTTCCCAATTTTCTCACTTTATTTGCAGTCTGAAATGTCGTAAAAACAGGGATGAATTGGTGGACGTACTAATGGACACACAGACGATTCTGTATTATTATACACAGATTAATTTGTAGTACTGGTGGAAACAATTACATACCAACATATCTTTAACCATCTTCGTCACAATCTGATTATTTTATAACCACATCAACCGAGTCGTTTCAGTACCAGGGTACCGTGAATGACCCAGCCTTGACCTCAGCGTGGGAATATTGCCAAATTCTCAACACCGACCCAATCCTGCATTAACCAGGTTGCTCTGCTTCCACGCTAGGTCACTGAATAAAATATTGGGTCACTATGAAAGTTAAACCTGAGTATATCAACATCGAGTCACGTGATATGAGTTCATTGATCACGACGACTTCGCCGGCCGGAAAGTGGCCTCACCATTTTCGTCCCTGACGTACGTTCCACTTAAAGTCGCAGATAGGAGGATAGTATTAATACTTGTCATGGGAGAAACAGGTTAAAATAATGTGAAGTGGGCTAAAATTGTTTGTTATGCAACCATATTAACATAGAGAAACGTATTACTTATTTTGGCATAGACACTTCGGGTATTTTGCTAAAACAATAAATTGACGTCCAAAAATTTCTCAACAACCGCAAATGACACTTCAAAGAAAATTTTGTTGTTTGCAGCAGTTATATTGATTTAAAAAGACGTAATATCTGTAAATCCTTAAATGTTCTCTTTGGCCTTACTTGCAAAGTTGTATTTTTCAGACTTACAAAACATTTGCCAACTTCCTCCACACCTTGAAAGAAAACTCTGTCAAGACTGCAAAACAGAACAGTCCACAAGTCCAGCTGATTGTTTACACGTTTAGGCATACATTTTTTCACAGAATACAGCTATACGATAAAGCCGTCAGATAACCGCGAACTTCCTGACTAAATGAATTTGTAGCTTCAGGATTTTACGTCACGGGGCCTTCGTGACTTTTTTGTAGGCACACACAATGCGACCAACTGATTCCTTGTGTATGTTCAAGCTAGTTACTTTCATTTATTTATTCACTCACTCATTCACTTCTCCATATATTTATGCATTCATTTGATTGTTTATTTATTTATTTCTTCCATTATTTATTATGGTATATGTTTTATTAATTATTTCCCCTTCATTAATTATTATTTACTAATATATTATATTTCGTTTCTTATATCATTTTATTATTAATTTATTTATCCATTTCGTTGTTTATTATTTTAATTATCAATACATTTGTTTTTTTCTCTTTCAGAGATCACTTAAACCTAACTGGCCTCTCACATACAGATCGTTCCATTGAAAAGCTTCCATCACTACTACAGCATTTATAAGCTTTGGTGACATTAATATAACAAGACAAACAAATTGTTTTTTAAGCTTTTATTTGTTAGGAAGAACTTACAAAACAACTTTACAGCAAATGCTGATAAAGTCCACAACCATCGCCCTTTTTAGCGTGTTTGCGACTGTGTGAAATATTTTGGGGTCAAAATTTGCAACATTGGCAAAACTATGCTGTATAGTCTGGTAGAAGTTTGCTGACATTTCAGAGCAGAGGCAGCGAATATCTCTCAACTGTCAATAAACCTGACAATTATATAATTTATATTAAGTGATGTTTATTTTTTCAAATATATCAACATGACAGCAGCATGGACCTTTGAGATCATGTTCGTAATTAAAAGGATACAAGCTGTTACTAGGCCAGTTTCTGACACAATTACTTCCTACATTTGTTGTCAATGAAAGTAAAATTTGAGCAGAGACAGCAGAGTAAAATATAATTTATATAACTTTAATTCATTAAATTTCCTTAAATCGTAGTTTCAAACCTTTCACGTCTCAATGAAGATCTCTACAGCATGTCTTCCACATTACGATGTAACTGACTTTTGGTTGGCTTAAAAATTTCTCCACGCTCCTCATATGGCACATGTCAGAGAGATAATCTCAGCTTTTGAATATATTTTAATCTACTAGCTTCAACTATCATCAACAAATAATGTTTACTTTATTAAAAGTAGAGTTGTAATGAGTATTTCTTAAATGTACTATGTGTTAATGTTTATTTTAAAGTATGACACACACTTAAAGCTTAGAAAGGCGTCATCAATATTGTTTTACTTTTAGCCTTGCACCATGAAAGTGTCTAAGGTAGCAGAGTTACACATCCACACATTCAAAACAGAGGCGAGTGGTCAGCTTCACGCTCAGGCCACTCAGCCATGCGGAAGAATCTCGGGTATCTATCGAATAGCAGGTAACAAAACTTAAATAAAAAATCATTATGATAATGTAACACTGTTGGGTTATTTGCGTATAAGTTTAGCACTTTCATGTAAGTATAGACCATTCCACTTCTAAATTGTCATCTAAACCATTACTGGTGGTCTTATTTTCCCACAAAGAATGGTATGCAGAAGTATCACAAAGTTAATGTACCACAAAGAAAGTTCAATTATTTTAATTATATATGATTAGCATATCTTAGTATTATCTTAATAAATTGCAAAATGTCCATTTCTGTCTTTTGTTACAACTTCTTCCTCGTTAAATGGATGACAAAAGACTAATCCTGTAAGCCAGTGGTCCCCGACGCGGCGCCCGCCGAGGCAGCGAATATCTCTCAACTGTCAATAAACCTGACAATTATATAATTTATATTAAGTGATGTTTATTTTTTCAAATATATCAACATGACAGCAGCATGGACCTTTGAGATCATGTTCGTAATTAAAAGGATACAAGCTGTTACTAGGCCAGTTTCTGACACAATTACTTCCTACATTTGTTGTCAATGAAAGTAAAATTTGAGCAGAGACAGCAGAGTAAAATATAATTTATATAACTTTAATTCATTAAATTTCCTTAAATCGTAGTTTCAAACCTTTCACGTCTCAATGAAGATCTCTACAGCATGTCTTCCACATTACGATGTAACTGACTTTTGGTTGGCTTAAAAATTTCTCCACGCTCCTCATATGGCACATGTCAGAGAGATAATCTCAGCTTTTGAATATATTTTAATCTACTAGCTTCAACTATCATCAACAAATAATGTTTACTTTATTAAAAGTAGAGTTGTAATGAGTATTTCTTAAATGTACTATGTGTTAATGTTTATTTTAAAGTATGACACACACTTAAAGCTTAGAAAGGCGTCATCAATATTGTTTTACTTTTAGCCTTGCACCATGAAAGTGTCTAAGGTAGCAGAGTTACACATCCACACATTCAAAACAGAGGCGAGTGGTCAGCTTCACGCTCAGGCCACTCAGCCATGCGGAAGAATCTCGGGTATCTATCGAATAGCAGGTAACAAAACTTAAATAAAAAATCATTATGATAATGTAACACTGTTGGGTTATTTGCGTATAAGTTTAGCACTTTCATGTAAGTATAGACCATTCCACTTCTAAATTGTCATCTAAACCATTACTGGTGGTCTTATTTTCCCACAAAGAATGGTATGCAGAAGTATCACAAAGTTAATGTACCACAAAGAAAGTTCAATTATTTTAATTATATATGATTAGCATATCTTAGTCTTATCTTAATAAATTGCAAAATGTCCATTTCTGTCTTTTGTTACAACTTCTTCCTCGTTAAATGGATGACAAAAGACTAATCCTGTAAGCCAGTGGTCCCCGACGCGGCGCCCGCCAAGGCTTTTTTCGGGTGCCCGCGTTGATACGGAAAGAACCATGAACATTATAAAATCAAAGCACAGGTCTCGACTTACTGATGCCCATTTTGACTGTTGTTTGCGAGCAGCAACATCATCCTACACTCCCAAATTTGAAAAACTGGCCCATGAAATGCAGTGCCAAATATCACACTAACTTCCCACTTGAGTAATAATAATTGTACTTATAAAAGTACGTATTTTTGATTACGTGGTTTCTTGTATCATTAAACGTCGTGTTGTTTTGCGTATTATTTGGTGTCCATATCTTATTTGTCCAGAGAAAATAATATTTGGCTTTGTTAATCGGTTGGTGCCCGCCACGATCTCATAAACTCTCAAATGTGCCCGTAGGCACAAAAAGGTTGGGGACCACTGGCTTAATCATTACTAGTGGTAGCAGAAACATGCATCTTCAATAAATAAAGTGGAATTTTGTTGCAGAGTTGGATTGAGATAAAATTAAATACTTCCAAGAGATTATATTTGGATCAAAGAATTATGATTGCACTGTATTTTACTTAAAACTTTGGTTTTATGTTTTCTCGGAAGGTGTACAATTTGTCATATCCTGATAGGACTTGTCCATGAAACAAACCCTACGTCCATTGTTTAATAACTTTTCCTGCCAGCAAAACTTACAATGTGCCTAACCAAGGCGATTTTACCACATTTCCTCCTGCACATAGAATAGCATAAAGAATAGCAAAAGAGGAGCAAATGTGGACCAAAAGGGGGAAGTAAAGGGATGATGGAGAAAGCACATAATGTCAAGCTCCATAATTTGTACCCTTCAACATATATTATTAGGGTTTCAAAAGAAAGAAGGATTTAATAGATGAGATATGTAGAATGCACGAGGAAGATGCCTACAGCATTTTAATTGGAAAACCATGTGACAGACATGGACACAGGTGGAAGGATAATACTGAAAGAAATCTCACTGAAATGGAATTTGAGTATGCGTGAACTGGATTTAACTGGCTCAGATTAGGAACCCATGACTGGTTCTTGTGAACACTGTAACAAAATTTGAATTCCATAAAAAACAGAAAATTTCTTAACTGATCGAGTAACTATTGGCTTCTCAACAGGGACTGTGCTCCAAAGAGACAAGAAAAGTAGGCCTACAAAATAATAATTCTTACGTAATTTATTTATTTTATTTTATTAATTTAATTAAGATTTGGAATTCCTCAAAACTCCTCCTTTAACACATTCCTCTTGTAAGGAATATAAATTTAATGAACTTTCGTTGTGGTACGTTCATTGTAAAATGCAGGACATTAAAACTGTTGTAAACTCACTTGTACCAACCAATTCCTATGACTATTACTCCAACTATAGCCGCAGCACTGCAACCAGCTACGATAGCTGAAATACACAAACACAGTTCATTAACAATTCAGCCAAGACGAATTCTGAGAAAAACTTTGATAATACCACTGCAGCACTTTACAAATGTGTAAACCAAATTTCAGCATTGATTTCTGGCATTAACAGAGCAGGAACGCCTATTTACATAATCTTTGCATGATAAGCATAAAATAAAACCTTTAATGCAAACACACTCTAAAAAGTTAGTTATGAAATATAGGTGTAATAAATTAACCTATGTCAGTGGTCCCCAACCTTTTTGTGTCTATGGGCACATTTGAGAGTTTATGTGATCGTGGCGGGCACCAACCAATTAAGAAAGCCAGAACAGAAATAATGGATTGCCCCACTCACTTTGATTAAATTTATACCAGCTGCTTACTAAGATTTCTCAACTTTCAATGTGTTCGGATGTGAACTTCCATTCACAATGATAGTAAAACCATAAAAATACTACAGACTTACCAATAAAATACACATCAGACTTATCATCTGGTTCAGCTTGAACAGGAGTCTTGTAAAGCTGGTAATTTGCAGGGGCTGTTTCTTCGGGCAACTGTGGCTTTAGTGAGTTTGAAGCCTTAAGCTCATCGTGATCTGCCTTCTGTTCTGTCTGTTGAGGCGTTCTCAAGGTCTGCGATACTGGGTTCAAATCAAACACAGACCCATCATAATCCTCATCTGGCACGGACTGACGTGGAAACAGATTCGGGATTCCATCTGTGCTGTCTGGAATATCAACCAAGTCACATTTAGTGCCTTATCTGAGTAAACCACAAAACACAGAGAAATGTTTTAATATGTTATATTGGCTACAAATGCTTCAGAAATATATTTGCAAGAAACTCATCTAATAAACTGTAAAGCAACGACAAAATTTTACTTTTAAAGTCTATTTTTATATGTATGACCAAACAAGTATGTTGAAAATAAACGTAGGTCTGAGAAAGACTAACCTGTTAGGCTACGTGTCTCTTCATAGTATCGTGGATCGGACGGGTTTACTGCGAAAGGTGAAGTTTTTTCGGAGACTGGAGAACGCCCCGGAAACTGGTAAGTAAACCCTGGATTCGGCCCCAGCTTTGGAATTGTGCCGGGATTGCTGAAAGGACGGTACTGACTTTTCTGCAGAAATCTCCTTGCCACTTGTTCTATAACGTAATCCTCCGGAGTTACATCTGCAAAGAAATTGCACAAGCAACGATAGACTAACTATGTGAACCAGCTAACCTCAAAACCAAAACTGCACTAACGCCTTGAACTGCGTTCTTCTTAAGAAGGTAAAAGATGCTCAGCCGATCAAATATTTCCCGCCCTTTAAAGAACATGATGATTTATTACCATGTTCACAGCGACCTATCCTCTCGCTATCCTTTGCAGAACGAATCTAGTCCATACCGCCACACCCTATTTAAGATTTATTTTAATATTATCCTCCAATCAAAGCCTTGGTCAGACCTTACGACTCAAATGTTATATTTATCATCATCTCTCCCATATATGCAAGAAGCTATACTTATTTTATCCATCATCATGTTTCGTCGCCCTGCTATGAGAAACTGACTTTAAGTGTTAACTCATCGGAATAATTTGTCGATTAGCAGAAGTCCGTCTGGGGTGGCGTTAGGTACATCTACGGTTTAAAATTGTATCAGATTAAACTCGACATACTTTACATATTGGGAAATAAATTCAGTATATGCCTACCTTGTGGAAGTGTTGTGTCAGGTTTGGAGTATTTTATTTGAACCCATATAATTAATTTGGATAGGTATTTCGATCAGAATAAATCAAGTAGTGGGCGATTACAATGATCATAATACATCCGCTATGGACATGGACTTCCTTATGTCGTCTTATGCTGTCTCGTGAAGGTAGAGAGACCTTGCAATAACCGATCCCCCGTGCAAGTAATTATAGTCTACTAAAAGCCTGACAGTTGCTTACTCTCGGAATTAATTCTGAGTCTGAAAACACCTGAAGCAGTCACTCACAACTGCACCTGACACACCGGAAACACCATTTAAAGAAACATGACAGAGAAAATAGCAACGTCTAACTTCGACGGAACAACGGAGTTTAGTAACAATATAAGCCTAACAAGCACATACGAATTTCCACGACACATGACTATCTACTATTCAAGATGAATAAAAGACAAAGCTCAGAACGGTATCTCACATTTTCAATTTTAATGTAAATAACAACGAACAACACACGTAGTATTGATGACTGCCGTCTTCTTTCGATGATGGATGCGGAAAGCTCCTCTGAAACTTCAGTCAGTATCTACCAGACTACACGGCGGAACATCAAGAACACAGCCATCTTATTAATCGTCAACGTGAGAACCTGAAATCTCACCAACATATATTGACCACATCGACTGACGTACTAGAATAATGTAATTCAGAGGTCAGATGATGAACTAAAGGTTTCTAAACATGTCGCTCAATTGGCTATTGCGAAATAAAAAAGTGCATGAAGTTACAAAGTTTGTGCAACTTCTTGTTGTGCAGACATGGGCAAAGTACCATCTTCACTGCCAGTGGGCTGCAGTAAAAGAATGATTAAATAAGTAAGCAAATGTTAAAATGGGTAGCTGGTCTTGCCATTTTTACTATCTGTTCCCTTTGCTCTGCTCGCAAAGTACAGATTGCAGTATCCATCTTCTAATATCTGAAGCGTTAGAAAGAGGAAACGGATATAATTTGCCATGTAATTCATTTCCATCTGTTGCTGCTCAGTCACGGGTGTAAAATGTAAGACACGTCTGACATCACTGTAAAGTGATTACAGAATGATTAAGAATGAGAAGAAGTCTCTAACAAACACAAAACCGATAGATATACTTTTTGAATAACAAGACGTTAGCTGGCACAACAACAAAATAACCTACATTCGTATGTGATCATACATATATTATCTGTGCAGGTTCCACTAAATTCCTTGAACTGATACATGTGCCAGAATAAAACTGTCAGTTCATAATATTCCGTGTCACGTTATTTAGTTTGTAGTCCCAAGAGATGTGAGACTGGTTCAATAGAAACCAATCACACGCACTTCTCAACAAGCCGACTGGCAAGTCTTCATACAATCAATTAACCAAACAATGTAGATTCTCAGTTCTCGTCCAATGAAATAAACCAGTCACAGTCTATTCTCAAGAATTCGTAATTTCAAACAGCCAATCAATGCCGATTCTCCGTTCTCATTCCTGGCTGGTCATATTTTACCATTAAAACGACAGTCTTTACTGATCTCTACTGTGTCCTTCCAAATCGCGACTTGACCCTTTCTATATTCGTACGTGATGTCTCTTTTAAAAACACTTACCCTGTTGGGATTTTATATAAGTGAAATAAACATGGGGTAACATCTCCAAACAGTCAACTCTAACAATATGTGACTACAAACACGAATATACCACTACAATGAAAGTATGTTAATAGAAGGGTGTTTCGGGAATGGAACCAGCAAAGGCTACAAATAGTCAATATGAAGATGACTTCATAATCTATTATCGTGTGCACTGCATACTCTGTATTTTTTCTTCTTCTAAATTCTATCACAGCAATTATATATTCTATATAACTAACTAATTAACTAGATGGCTTATAGAACCCGAGGGTTCATCACCGAATTAACCAAAACCCTCCACCGGACCCTGTCCTGGGCCAACAAAATCCAATCTCCTTCTACTCCTATCTCCCATAGAT